TTTTTTGGGATGGTTTTGGGGGAAACAGTTCTCCTCTGGGGCTGTTTTGGGGGAGTATTTCCTATTTTGGGGAAATCTCTTCTTTGGGACTGTTTTAGTTGCAATATCTCCTGGTTTTGGAGGAATCTCTCCTTTGAGGCTGTTTTGGGGGAATATCTTCTTTTTGGGATGGTTTTGGGGGAATCTCTCCTTCTTTGGGGCTGTTTTGGGGGAATACCTCCCAGTTTTGGGGGAATCTCTCCTCCTTTGGGGCTGTTTTGGGGGAATATTTCCTAATTTGAGGAAATCTCTTCTTGGAGGCTGTTTTGGGCGCAATATCTACTGGTTTTGGAGGAATCTCTCCTTCTTTGGGGCTGTTTTGGGGAAATACCTCCGGTTTGGGGGGAATATCTCCTATTTTGGAGATGGTTTTGGGGGAATCTCTCCACCTTTGGGGCTGTTTTGGGGGAATCTCTCCTCCTTAGGGGCTATTTTGGGGGAATACCTCCTGGTTTTGGGGGAAACTCTCCTCCTTTGGGATTATTTTGGGAGGAATATCTCCTCTTTTGGGACTGTTTTGGGGGAATCTCTTCTTCTTGGAAGCTGTTTGGAGGGAATATCTCCTCCTTTGGAGTAGTTTTCAGGGAATAGCTGCTCTTTGGGGGGGAATCTCTCCTCTTTTATCATGGTTTTGGGGGAATCTCTCCTTCTTCAGGGCTGTTTTGGGGGAATATCTCCTATTCTGGGAGAATTTCTCCTCCTTTGGGGCTGTTTTGGGGGAATATATCCTATTCTGGGAGAATTTCTCCTTTGGGGCTGTTTTGGGGAAATATCTCCTGGTTTTGGGGATGGTTTTGGAGGAATCTCTCCTCTGGGGCTGTTTTGGGGGAATTATTTCCTATTTTGGGGAAATCTCTTCTTGGAGACTGTTTTGGGGGCAGTATCTCCTGGTTTTGTGGGAATCTTTCCTTCTTTGGGGCTGTTCTGGGGGAATATCTCCTATTTTGAGGTAACCTCTTCTCCTTGGTGGCTGTTTTGGGAGAACATCTCTTGGTTTTGGGATGGTTTTGTGAGAATCTCTCCTTGTTTGGGGCTGTTTTGGGGCAATATCTCCTGGACTGGGGAAATCTCTCTTCCTTGGGGGCTGTTTTGGGGAAATATCTCCTGGTTTTGTGGGAATCTCTCCTTCTTTGGGGCTGTTTTGGGGGAATATCTTCTTTTTGGGGACCATTTTGGGGGAATCTCTTCTCTTTGGGGCTGTTTTGGGGGAATATGTCATTTTTGGGGTCCAATTTGGGTGAATCTTTGCTCCTTTGGGGCTGTTTTAGGGGAATATCTTCTCTTTTCGGGCAGTTCTGCAGGCTTTTTCTTCCTTTGGACCTATGTTTTGCGGCTACCTCTGTCTCTCGCAGGCTCCTGGAGGCCGACTCCAAGTCGATGCGCTCCATGAACGGCTCCCGAAGGAACAGCGGCTCCTCCTTGGTCTCCAGCTCCTCGGCCTCCTCCAACCTCAGCCACCTCGAGGAGGACACCTGGATCCTCTGGGGCCGCATCGTCAACGAGTGGGACGAGTGGCGGAAGAAGAAGGAGAAGCTGCTGAAGGTGAGGACGAAGCTTTATCATTCGTTGTATTTGAGCCGCCACCCCGGCAAAAATCCGCACGGTCCTCCTTGAAACCCATTTTCTCAGGTTTTTACCCCCTTTCTTTCCACAGGAGCTCATCCGCAAAGGCATCCCGCACCACTTCCGCGCCATCGTCTGGCAGCTGCTCTGCAGTGCCACCGACATGCCGGTCAAGAACCAATACTCGGAGCTGCTCAAGATGTCCTCTCCCTGCGAGAAGCTCATCCGGCGGGATATCGCCCGCACCTACCCGGAGCACGAGTTCTTCAAGGGGCAGGACAGCCTGGGCCAGGAGGTGCTCTTCAACGTCATGAAGGTAACGTCCTTCCGCCAACGCCGGCGGATCTGGGCCGCGGCCCGGATGCTGCTTCGGGTTCTGAACCCATTTTAATTGGGTATTAATTTTTAATGGGTTTGGTTTCCACCACAAACTCTCGGAGGTGTCACCCCTTGTGGTGTGACATCCCTTCTCCTCGCAAAGGGATCTCGTTCTCCACCCTTCCCAGACCTCGTTTTTCCCGTTGGGTTTTATCCCGCACTAAGAAATAGGACGTTGAGGTTTTCGGGGTCTGAGTTCAAGCGTGGAGCGACGTCGTGCTCCCGGGAGGTGTTGTCAACCCGGGCTTCCCTCCGCTGTTGGCTTCCCGCAGGGATGCTTCTCCTGCTCACATGTAGGTTTAGTTGGAATTTTTTTCTGCCTTCCAGGCCTATTCGCTGGTGGACCGGGAGGTCGGATACTGCCAGGGTAGCGCCTTCATCGTGGGACTGCTGCTCATGCAGGTGCGTAACCATCCCAGGGCGAGGAGGAGCTGCCGGGGGGGTTTTAACACCCTCCGGAGACGCGGTTGGGAATTCTTGATCCTAAGGAAGAAAACGGGCTCGTTCCCACCGTCCCACTTAACTCCTGATGGGTTTAGAATCCCCCGGTTTGCATTCCCTTTCACCCAGGGATGGCTCCCGGCATGTCCCATCCCATCACCGGATGGGAAGAGGCTGCCACACC